ATCTTTTCATATGCAGATTTCCTTTTCCAGATCAGATGTTAATTGGTATAACTGTCAAAATCTATACTACTTCACCTAACTCAGAATTTCTACTATGCAGGTCCCCTGCTTGTAGATCTTATCAAGATTTATTTGTATGATATTATGTCTCATCGAATGCCTCGTCACACTTCCAATACCTAATTGGCATTAGTGCAATATGATTTATAGGATTACAACTCCAGAAACGAGCAGAGTTTACTGTAAGTTGGATACAGATGTCTAGGTAATTATTTAATTCTGTATATAGTGGAATTTGAACTCTAGACCTCTTGCATAGCAGTTCAGTAATCTAACCACTACACTAAGATCGCCAGACCTTATCTAACCTGACTTAAAACTTAGAGACTCTATACAATTTAAAAATTGTACTTTTGGGCTATTCAGTATCAATTATATAGAATTTAATTAAATGATTATTATAATATTAGAATTAATTATTTAGTATTATGCTTCTGACCAAAATTATAACTAGTCTAAATTTAAAATTATACTGCATCTAAAATTTCTGACTAATTAGTAAAATTAATGTTAGCTAATCACAAATGATATATAGTCATCTATAATATTTTGAAATTTTACTACTACTTACATAATTTATAGAATACTTAATAATTTTTCCTCTATCTGAAATATTCCTAGTCTTGTCTAGTAAATTATTTAATCTGTATTGCTATTTTTGAATCAGAGGTTTAATAATAGCAATATAGGTTTTAAAAGGTTAGATAATTACTAAATGAGACTGAATATTTCAGATAGCAGAAAAATTATCAGATAATTTAGTGTAGAAGTTGGAATCAGTTGTAAAATTTAAAACCTAAATTAATTAAATATGATTATGAAAAAAACTAATTTATGCTAAATTGAATTGGCTTAAACTAAATTTAATTCAAATTGTCAAATTAATATTTAGTTAAAAAGAAAAATCTGAAATTACTTTCTTGTTACAATAGATAAATTGGTTACTAATAACTAATTTCAAAATTTAATAAAAAAAGAAAATATTTAAATAAAACTGAATACTAATTTGAAAACCAAATTATTGAAAGATTACAACAGAATTAAAATATTACAAAATGATTTACTATTTAAACTGGTTTAATCTGAAGTTGAAATTGAATTTCATAATTTAGTTCTGACCTTTACTTCAGGAATTATGATAATATATATGCTGTTATCAATAGAAATTAAGCAAATTGTTTTTATTGAAATTTTTTTGAAACTTTAAACAATAATAACTTAACAATAACTTAATTAATAAATTTCTACAAACTTTTATTTTAAAAAAAATTATTAAAATTTGTTTAAAATTTCAAAAAAATATATTTAATTTGATTTTATTGATAGCAGCTTATATTAGCTTTAAAAATTTCAGATCAGATTCGAGTTAGGTTAGGTTTGAGTTGAATTGAAGTGCTAATCTGAAAGTGTTTCAACTCAACTAAACCCAAACTTAACTTATTCAGAATATTAGTAACTATAAGATTACTGTATCTACAATAAAGTAATTTAAAAATTTCTAAATAAATAATTAATATGAACATAGATAGGGATCCAAACTATAACTCGAGTAACTGTGTACTCGATAACTCAACTCATAAAATTTACTAACCGAGTTATTTTTTTTAATAAATAGATGATCTGTTTATATCAGGTAATCTATTTTATAACAGGTAATACTATAATAAGCAGGTGACCTATTTTACAACAAGTAACCCAGTTGGTAAATAAATAATCGATCAACCTGATTTATATTACTAACTAGTTTAAAAATAAGGTTTAAGATAAAGTTAGCGCTAGGCCATATTAAGTTAATATTCTAATAATACTGATACATATCTTTATTCATAATAAAAAATTATTAATAATAAAAATGTTTAAACGGATATAAATCATACAAATAACTTTAAAAGATCCACTTAATTTTATTTTCAAAAAAAAAATTTATGCAGTATAAAGATTTTACTTTGTTTTTTTTTTTTAAAAAAAAAAAACTACCTGATATGTAGTAATATTAAAATTGATGATAACTTCTTTTTTTATTAGCCTACATAATATAGTAATTGATAACGCTTTTTTTCTGATATAAAAACTCCTTAATTTTTAAAAGCATTTTTTTTTTTGATTTTTGAAAAATACTACCGTTACAACTTTTATAAAAATCATACATTAGATATCTGTTTTTTAAGAACTAAACAAATATCTTCACTTGTAGCATTAAATGGATTACATTCAGAACATTGTAATAAATATACTATACTTTAGTCATCATCCATCAGTTAAGATTTTCAAAATCATAGTATATACAAAAAATTAAGTACTACCAGTATGCAATTAATATTATAAAACTAATAGGTATATTTGTCAAGATAAGTATTTCAACTTCAACATCTGATTATATAGATGATGATGATATATATTCTGTAGATATATTTGATGAACTACCTAGACCTGATGAATCGTCTGCATATAATAATAAAACAAAAAAATGAAAAAATATAGTATCGTATGGAATCATTTTAATATTGAGACAACAGAAAAAAGCACTTTTGATATTTGTCAAATCTGTAAAGAAAAAAACATTAATATTAG